AGCTTTACAGCTACTACATGAATTACATTTTCATAATTAAAAAATGTCCACTGCAAGTTTTTTTTTTTCCAGTAATCCCTTTGGCTGACCGTGCAAACATGCAGGGGAGCTGTTCTCTCTTTTTTGTGTGTGTGTGCATGGATCTTTTGCAAATTGGAAGGCAAGGCCTGTGTGCGCATTAGACTGCAGTTAGGTTTCTGACTGTCATTCCGTATCGCTGTAGATCACTTTGATTTGTGCTGGCAATTGCACAGCGGGGAGGTCCACCACATTACTGGCACTCTCTGGGAGATCTGTCTCCCGAAATCTGACCAGCAGCGCCCCAGTCAGGGAGTGTGGATGAAACAACTATCTTCGCCGACCCTCGTCATCCTAACAGAATCGCACATTCGAATGAGCGAGAGTTAATGGCTACATGGACACACAGTTTTCACTGTCTTCAGCATAACCACACTACTTGTACAGTATATATTGCATACGCCATGGACACAGAGCAGCTCTACTCGTATTGAGTTTTATTCCATTTCTATTCCATCTATTATCATGTAACCTTATTTTCATAAGTTTTGTGAGCTGGCGGAAAATACATTTCATTGCCAGCAACTACTGCTGCACGCTGTGTTGTTTTGCATTTGATAAATACATTTTGATTTGATTGGATTTGTTAATGTTATCCCTGCAGTGCCAGTTTGAGATTTCAGCTTTAATTTCTGTCCTCTATTGTGCCAAATGTTCCATTATGGAAGGTGGTGGGCAGGGACTGGAGAGGTAGCCACAGGCATGCATTACTAAAAGCAGAAGTGCTGAAGGTGTGACTGGGTTAGTCAATATTTCTGGTTCTCACGCAATGACAGCCTGCTGCTCTCAGTCCTCAGTATGGGATCTGGATCCAAGTTATCTAGACTATCGATGCACTGGCTACAACATAGTACCTGTAGCTGGGAATCTCACCCTGCTGGAACCATCTTGACTGGAAACAAGAAGCCTGTTGAGGTTTCTAGACGATTGCTCAGAAGAACTCCATTATCTGCCTACTACTGCTACAGGAAAAGAGCTGTAGCAGCTTTTTAGGGTTGTAGGTGCAGTCTTTAGTCATCGCGTAATGATGGACTGTAGAAAGAAAATGTTAAAACCCAAGATCTCTTACAAAGTTATCAGTACAGATGTTTGTGAAGTCAGGGTTTGGCAAAACTTTAAATGCTTTTTTTCCATTCTGTGGGGGACTGCAGATTGCCCAGTGCTGTCGTGATCTCTTTAAATCCCGGCCCTCCGTGGCTCAGTCTCTTGAGAAACAACCTGTTCATGTGAGCAGGCAGAATTGAGCCTGTTTGCTTGGCAGATTTCTGCTTCCAATTACCAAAAGGACAAAGTAATCCCATCAAAGGAAACTGTTCCCAACTAACTGATCTGGATCTGTTTTACCCAGCTTCGACTCCTCTTGTCTGTAGTGGAGAGCCTTTAGAGATTTATGAGTCAGTGGACTTCATTTGGACGTGTAGGTGAAAGAAGCGTTTTATGTTGATGTGCAAAATGTACATCTCATGCTCACTCGAAATGTGGAAAAAGAACTTACTGTCATTGCCCGCAGTCTTCTGTTGTGCAAAGTAGGTCAATCTACAGTGACAGCTGCTTCTTTTTAATGTTCGAATATTAGCAACGCTGAGTAAAAAACAGAAAAAGTACGCTAATTAGTCATAATAATCCAGTATTTGGTGATGAGATGGCTGTGCAGTTAATAAAGGCCTCTCAGTGTATGACCTTTGACCTTTCCCCAAGCAGAGCTCAATGAAGACAAACCCCTCAAGCAGTAAACAGTGCTGTGCTACCTGCATGGAGTTTGTATGGTCTCCCTGTGTTTGCATGGGTTTCTTCCCACAGTCCAAAAAAAACAAAAGGTTGATTAATTGGCTTCTGGGTAAAATTGGCCCTGGTGTGAGTTGGTGCCCTGCAACGGATTGGCATCCCAAGCCCATTGCTTGCTGGGATAGGCTCTGGCTATCCACTATGACCCTAAATTAGATAAAGTGGTAAAACATGGCTGGATGGATGCTGTCAATCTGTCTTTGGGTATGTGCAGAGTGCAGATATCTTGCTGTTGTTGCTGTGAATAAGTGTTCTTATTCACTGAAGTGGCATCACCTTGCTGTGGGCACTGTGTTCCGTCTTCCCTGGAGGTTGTTAGGATGGCTCTCCCACCCTGATTTCTTTTCTTTACCGCTTAAGTGTTGCCGTGGCAACCAGGAATTAGGCATCCCTTATGAGATCACTTCGGCCATATACAATTTCTTGCATGAGAAATTTGTCTTTTCGCATACCCCAGCTTGCTCTCCAAGAGACACACAGACAGGGAGAGAAGCTTGGGGTCAGAGCACAGGGTCAGCCATTTATACGGCGCCCCTGGAGCAGTTAGTGTTAAGGGCCTTGCTCAGGGGCCCAACAGAGTAGGATTCCTCTGCCAGCCGCAGGATTTGAACCAGGAACCTACCAGCCACAGGCGCAGATCCTGAGCCACAGAGCCACCGCTCCTCCCCTGATGCCTCTTTCTTTCTCCTGCCTCCCTCTCCCATTGCCTCTGCTATCCTGATCTTGTCTGGCAGTCTTTCTGTTCCCATAAAATCAAACTCAGTGCGAGTCACATTGAGGAGTTAGCAGAAGTCATATGTTTATTGGGGAAAACCACAATTGACTCAGACCACAATTGACAAGGTGTTGGTTTCTGTAATCTTGTTTTGTTCAGACTGGTTTCAGGATTGTAGGTTCAGGAAGTGGAAGAATGTCGGTCAGAATGAAGTACATGACCCGAGACTACAGGGATACATGCAGGGTACATTGCCTATGTACCCTAACAATGATGAGTTAACAAGTGGAATTTTCCACGCCTGTAATTTCAGTCCGGCTTTGAAATCTCTCAGTGGGTGTCACAGTGACCAGTGGGCTCCTAATTGTGACAGAAGGAAGGTATTTTAATTATAGTGTATTAAATGTTGGTTTACTGCAGTTACACTCCAATTAAACTGGGACTGCATAGCTGCTGTTGAAGCTGGCTGTTTCAGATCTCATTAACGGGTGGCACTTGAGGGTGCTTTAGTATTAGCCTTTTGCACACACAAAAGCAATTCTAATCATGTTTATTCTCCATGAATAGTTCAGGGGATAGACATTTTCACTGATTATTTCTTGAGCAGCAGGTGAAACGGTAGAGCAGTGGTGAGCATTGCTGTGGCCGCCTGGGTTTTCTCAACCAGCGCAAAATAAAACTACTGGTTGGTTAGTTGGTGAACTGACAAAAACCGGCCCTGGTGTGTGTATCCATGTTTGTGTGCCCTGTGACAGACTGGCATCCCATCCAGGGTGTATCCTGCCCCTTGCCCCCATTGCTTGCTGGGATAGGCTCTGACTCCCCGGCAGCCCTGAACTGGAAGAAACAGTTAGGAAATGGATGGGTGGATTTTTCTTCCTGTATTTCTTACTATAAGGACCACAGCTAAATCGGATGTCTGTTCACTCACAGAGTTGTTCCTGGTAGAGTCCTCAAACGTCCTGCAGCAGTCCAAGGGTTGCAGCTGTAAGTCAATTTAGTAAGTATTGGCATGGCCAAGTGTTTTAAGAAAGGAAGAAGCTGTTTGTCATGAGCTTTGTTCTTTATTCCCCAGATGATCCTGTGTATTTTCTTTCTGTGCCTTATGGGAAACATGCTGAACGTCTTTATTAGGTGTGTTATTTGCACTTGTGTTTTCATTTTATACTCACCTTATGGATGGTTTCCCGGTGTCTCATAGCATAAGTGCTGCACTGACCCCACCCACTCATCGGTTACTCCCCTGCTGATGGGCTGTGAGCTCCACCATGCCTGACTTACCCCACTGACATCACTGCTAGCCCGCAGGTACCTGAGAAGTCTCTGGAGCACGCTATGCTTTTCTGAAGGCCTCTGTGTTTAATAGCCCCAATATAGCACCAGGATCCCTGAATTCTAGCTGTGCAGCTGCTGGATATGTCTGCAAAATTCATTCAGTGCTCTGTAAAATGGGAGAATATCTGCAGTGCATCTGTCTGGAAGCGAGACCTTGGATAAACTTTTTACTGAACTACGGTTTGTTGAGACTTTTGCTGAACCCGCAGAAGCTGCACACAAGAAAGCTTTCAGATGGGGGCTGCGTCATTATGATTGTCTGTGAAAACCTTGAATCACTGGAGGGTTAAGATAGGTGACCATGCTAACACAGTAGAAAGCCTTCCACAATGACTGAGATTGTGGCCTTGAACACAAGAACAGAAGAAAGGTGACCAACATGCATGTGCATCTAAGTTATTTGGTAACTGGCAGCATACTGATCAGATGATCTCATCTAGCTATTTCTTAAAATATCAGGAGACGCAACATGGCAAGACACCTACCACCCTTTGTGTAGAGCTGTGCTTCCTATACTCAGTCCAAACACACTACTGTTGAATTTTGCAGATTATACTGTAGTAGCCCATTGAATTAAGTGTGGTTGTTACCTTTTGGGGATTTAAGAATACTTCTGTCAAGTCTCCTACCCTCTCCAGTTCAAGACTTAATAAATCAAGTTCTTTAAACCTGTCCATGTCTATTACATATTTTATAGACCGGGAATTCTAGGGATTGTTCTCTAAACTACCGAAAGGGCCAAGCACTTGAATGCTTTGAAGACTTTCGCCCAACTTTCTTTGCTGTCTAATTTGCGCGGTGGGGGTGAGGCTGCTGAGGGCACAGCCGTCCGCGCCGAGCTGCTGATCCGTTCGGGCAGAAACATCCCCCGCCAGCACCCCGAGGTGAGCCGAGGCTGGGACGGCCGGGATGAATGTGCTCCTGGAGCAGGAAGCCGGCAGTCTTCATTCCCGGCTCCTCCACCGGAGGGGTGCTCCGGGCATTGGGGGGTGACGTCAACGCGCGAGGCACTTGGGAGGGGGTTCCTGGGAGACGGCAGGTCGAGAAATACACGAAAGCCGGGGCGAAGGCATTTGCAGCTGGAGGAGATTTAAAAAAAAAAGACAAATTGTGTTAGCAGAGCTCCAGGCCCTGTCTCGAGGGGCTCTGCAGTGTGCTCAGCGACTCGCGCTTTGCCCTTATGCTGAGCAGGGCGGTTTCCTTGCTTCACAAATGAAATCTTCCCACTTGCTGTCTTTGTGATTGTGCTCTCCTCTTGTCACGTCCATCATGTTCCCTGTGGTTCCCATCCCGGTTGACACATTCCTGTCTCCCGTGCTCCTGCAGGCTTGGGGTGGAGGGGTTGGAGTGGCGTGACGCAGATTAAAATTTCATACATGACTGCATAGCAAAAGGAATATCCCTTCAAATGTCCTTTCGTTATTTTTAAGCGACGCTTTTCTCCTTGATGCTCGGCGATGGAGCTCGAATATTCTGCGGGGTTTCCACGGTAGCACGTTACAAGATGATACTGTATATTGACTTCAAAAAAATACAATTCTCATTCAGCTCCCTTTCCCTGCACTCTGTTGTGGTTTTAGCTGCCGGGACCCTACACGGTGCAACCGTTGAATTGATGCATCGCGTTACTCTCTGTGTACGGTACGTAACCCTACTGTCTCTCCCCACGCAGCTGTCTGGCGCTGTGAGTGCAGTGTGGAAGGTTTTGCACAGGACGCGAGATTGAGATCATGCCCGTGGCATCGCCCAGCTCTGATTCTGGTAAGTGCAGGAGTTTGTTTCTGAGATGGTGCGCTGCAGCGGGGTGAGACATGAGTGGCTTTGATGTCAACTCGATTCCTCACTGATCCCAACCGAGGGCTGGGGCCATTGCTGGCTGGTAGGTCCGATTAATCAATCCACCCTTCAATTTATCGCGTAAAAACAGTACACAATTTAAATCAAAACCTCACCACCTCCCTAAGAAAACAATATCATTTAACATTCCTATACAAGTACGTGTTTGAAAAATGTCCAAATATGAAAAAGAACAACAACTTGTAAAATACAAGTTATTACAATAATATTTCTACTAATATGCGTGAGAAAATCTGCGATGTCCCTTCGCGATGACAGTCCCTGGGTCGATGGAGTCCTACTTGATGGTGTGGACTGTGCATTGTATCTTCAGTCGTGTTTGGAGGGATGGTGCCTAACTGAGATACTCCTGTAAATTCGAGGTTTCCACTACAGCTCAAGACTTTTTCGTAAAAGGTGCGTTCAGCCTCAGGGTTTGTGCCCAGTTTCCAAACTACCAACCTATGGCATTTCTTTTTTACTTTGAAGTTTCAGTTTGAAAATTTCTGTTCTCGGCGATGGGTAAAATCACGGCCAGGAAACGCAGCGCGCATGTGCGAGGGGGCGTGTCTTAGTCAGCGCAAGTGCGAGGGGGCGTGTCTTACTCAGTGCGTGTGCGAGGGGGCGTGTCTTAATCCGCGCATTCTTTGCTGCAATGGCGGTAAATTTACGGTAGGTGGTGAATCTCGATGACGATTTTTCCTTCTAGCGCTCTGTTGTGTTATTATGATTAGTTTAAATGTTCATACGCTTTTTATGTGACTCAGATAATCGGTGGATCAATATATTGCCTGCTTTCTCGAGGTAACAACGGTGTGCTTGATTCTGTTTGTACTGAACAAGTATTTCACCATTAAAGATCGTCATTAACTAACTGGAATGGACGAGCTTGTGGAAAAACACAGAAAAAGTGGATTGAGTTTCCCTTAGAGTTCAAGGTATCGAATCCTTTCCCTACTAAAGTCATTACAACAGACTTAAACACCAGGCAATATTGTGTTTTTCAGTGTCATTTCCTCGTATTAATCGTTTTTGTCCGCATGTGTATTAGTAGGTTCGAGTGCAGGTAGGAAAATGTGGGTGATTTAAAATAACTTAGTACGCTTATGTTTATTTTTAGGAACAGACATGTCTTGAAAGTGCCAAAAGAAATCTGTTACAAAACTGCTAAAAATAAAGTTCTCAAAACAACAGTCAGAACCGTGTAAAGGACCGTGATGATCAACATTTGGTGTGGTGCCAAAATTGACTGTTACAGAAATGTTGAACTTTTCGTACATATAATTATTTCACACATCGAGGCTCCAAAGGTATAGCATGCTTGTTCCACTTCAGTCTCTCTTCAAGAGATATGAGCTGCTGTCCCCTTCCCTATGCTTCCAATTGGTATCATTTTATGTTTTACAAACAGTATTTAGCCTCTTTAGGCCTGTTTAACAAGATACGTAGCCAAGCCTTCCCCCTTGGAACCAGAAACATAATCTAGCAGCTGTATTCACAACGTCTATGAATAAGCATTTATGTAACTCATAGTTTAAGATGTCAAACATTCATATGCCTACTTGCATTTTTTGGACGTAATTAGTTGTTAGATTAAGCGATACAAATAGTCGATAGATTAATCGTTTACAAAATAATTGTTAGTGGCAGCCCTAGGCCCTAGACACTGTGCCTACAGTGCCTAATGGGGAATCCAGCACTGGTGGCTGGGGATTTGTCAGCAGCTGAATTGCATATTATGGTGTCCAGCAGACTGTAGGAGGAGCAGTGGTCAACTTGTAACTAGAAGGCTGTACACTCCTCTCGGACTGATGGAGTAACATACTCAGCTGTATAAATGGGTGCATTTGTAAAGCAGTCCATCCATTTTGTGGCGACTTCATCCAGTAGCGGGTTGTGGGGGATCTGGAGCCTAGCTCGGCAAACGACAGGCGCAAGGCAGGATACACTCTGCACTTGACACAGGTTACACCAGGGCCAGTTTTCCCCCAAACTGATTAACCTACCAGTGTGTCTTTGGACTGTGGGTGGAAACTGCAGCACCTGGAGAACAGAGAAACTCCACACAGACAGCACGCCAGGCCTGGAATTGAGCCCAGGGCCCCAGCACTGCAAGACAGCAATGCTAACCACTGTAGCCTTGCTGCACTCACAGCATCCACTCGATGAATTGTAAGTCACTGAAAAATAAATGCATCAGCCAAATAAAGATACTTAATAGAAGGCCTATCTGATTACCCTAAGGTTACCAGGCCCGGGGGCCAATTAATCAACGCCTGTATCAGGACACAGTGCGTCTCCAACCCACTCTGAAGCAACAGGCAACCTTGCAATTGCAGATACAGACGCAGCAGCCCAGAGCTAAATAAATCAACAGAGCGGTTTTGGACTTACAAAGCACGGCGCCGAGTCGAAATCACTGGGGGACTTTTGACATTATTTAAGAAAGAATTGCTATCCACTCCCCATCTATTTGAAAGTTTTCTGCTCTGAAATGGCCTGGGAAGAATGCCAGGCATAGGAAATTGAAAGTTGACACAGAGGGAGAAGTAATGGGCTACAAATGCGAGGGCTCGCTGTGTGTTTACAGATAATTTGTGCTTGGTTTTTCTAAGACGATCTGTAATATTTGGCTGTAGATGTTTTTATTTTAGTATGCTGTCTTGCTGTTAAGATGTGCCAGGCTCTGCAGTGTTTGTTTTAGCTGGGCAAGACCTTGCTGGTCAAGATGGATCTAAATAAATCTGTTGGGAACTACAGATTGAACAAAGGCTCTTAGCTGCAGCTGATATATGCCTGTTCGTTAAATTATTTTGTTGATTTGTCTGCCCAATGCGAAACTGCCGATTGCTTCTTTGTGTCTGGGCTCACAGTGACGACCCCTGTACCTGCACGGGGAGGATGAGGAAATGTGCCACAAGGCTCACTGCGATGTACAGGAGGGTCAATGCTGATTGGAGGAGAGGTGTGTCCTGCGATGATGTCATCGCATGCCTCGAGATTCCCAGGAAGTTGCAGGGTGTTGCCGTTTTGTTGGCAGTTAAGCCGACTTCTTTGCATCACTGAGCCATTTGGCTGCCACTGTTGGGGCAGTCCCAGTTTTTGGCCGGCAGTGTCATCTCTCTGGCTCAATCTCTTGACATCTGGATAACAGAACTCAGCTTAGTCTGGGTTGAACACCTTTTGCTGGCTGAGCCTTTTAGGATCCCCGATACCCCCCTTTTAAATTGTGTGACCTTAGCCCTGAGGAGGAGCATGATGAAGATTGACATTGTGTCAGCTCGTTGCTGTAAGACAGGAACTGATGAGAGCAAGGTGACAGTGTTCATAATTTTTAATGTGTGCAAGAATGGGATGAGATGAAGACCTTTTCCTCCCGATATCCTTGCTTGAAGACGAGCAAGACAGATGCTGAAGAAATAAATAGTTTTGTCTCACTCCATTTCTTCAGAAATGAACAATATGTGATTGTTTTGGAAAAAAAAGCTCCAAATGCCACGGCTGATTGGATTACTCATGAGATGGCTTATTACTGTTCAGTTGACCTTTATCGTGCGTTTCATCCTGGTACAAATTTCTGTACTCTCCTCATCACTTAGTGGGAGCTGAAATGAAAGTACGTCTTTGCATGATTGCATAAGCAACATTACAAATGAGAGGGTGGCATTCAGCCAGGCTTGATCTTATGGTTACATGGTGCTTATTGATCAGAAAACTAATCAGGCCTCCTCAGGGGTTGTGGGGAATTGGTATTCATGGCGTTGGGTAGTGTCATTGAAGAATATCCTATGCAGCAGGATAGGATACTTCAGTTACTCAAGCTGCTGTCAGCCTGCAAATACTGAATGTACTTTGTGCGTATATCCAAACAGCATTTTCACACTTCTGAAAATCAATTCTGTACAGAAGGTTGCGCAACACAGAAAATTGGAAATGTGTGTGATGTCCTGGAAACACTTGCACCTTCTAAGAGTCATGGAAACTAGGAAGAACTGTTAGTTCCCAGGTGTTTCATATAGCTACTTTTGCAGTGCAAACATTAAGTACGTGCATATGCTAATACAGTACCTAGATGTGCAGCTAGCAAAGCAAGAAATCCAATTGGTATTAACCAGGCTGCAGCCAGCCATTAGGAAATTGCTGTAGTGGGCTATACATGTTGTGGTACAAATTGCAAACCCAAGGTTGCTGGTAAAGTTAACTGGAGGTCCTGAGAGCAGTCCTGACTGGTGGTTAAAGATATTGGGGTGCTTTTTGAAAGAGCAAGGGCACAACTGACTGTGCTCCATTTTCACACCTGGAAAAAGGCAGTAAATCCTCAAATCCTCTCCTCTCCCCGTGATTTGCTTGTGTGGAGCATAGCTTGTGTGCAGAGGGAGTTGTGCTTCAGCTGTGTTTATCCTCTCATCTGTAAAAGCCTGAAATCCTGCGGGTGAAAGAGGCTGTCTATGTGCACAGTGCTGATACTATTCTTTATACGACGGATCAACCCACATTCTCACTGGACAGGTCAGACAGCTGAAAATGCTATGGTTTTATACAGTCCTTTACTGTGAACTATATATATATTCTAGGTGACAAATAATGATAGCTCTGTGCTTTTAAAAACATCTTCCTTCCAGCAACTGTTATTCCACTGCCGGAGGAAAAATGCTTCTTGTTGTAGTCCCTGTCTAATCTCATTTAGTGTAATCCCTCTGCTGAGTTTTAGTGAGGAAATGGAAGCTGCTAAAATCATAAATATAGGAATATATTTTTATTACCTTTTGGATAATCTGAGCCTTAAAGAATAATTAGGATAAAAC